GATGTTCCTACTCTTAAAATGAATGGCTATTTATATATTTGGTAATCTAGTCATTTAAAAGCTAGTTAGAGAGACAACAAAACAGTCCATGATTTTCAACAACAGTTTTAAGAGCGCCATTCTCTAAATTGTTAAAGCATTTTCCGCGTCTTGAGAACTTCCTGTTCAACTACCATTCTTAAATTTATAGCTGTTATCAATTTCATAAAATTAATTTTAGAAGAGTTATCAACTTTCAATTCGAATTAAAATAAATTCTAGATTTAAATACTAGGTATTAATTGATATAGTAACATAACCTTAATGTATTGGACGTTATGGTTATCTGCGGGTCGTGCCCCGCCACCTAAGATATCAGCGGCGTTGTCATTACATTCACAGAACTAAATAACACAGGATAATATTCAAACATATTTAAATGCTGAATTATAGTATCGAATTTGTAACTATGAAGTGTTTTTTAGATAAGTACAAACAATTAATAGGAAACCCAGCGTATGATTACATATTAAAAAATTTTGGCAGTCAATGATTTTATAAACAGATCTCTTACATTAATATAAATCTTACTTAATCTATTCACATTATTCGCTTCTCAAACAACAGTAGAATTGTCATTTAGTTATAATAAATGACATATCCAGGGACGCAAAACAAGAATTGACCATCTCACGAGGTCCTGAATAATGTATCTAGACTCTGTAATATGGAAAGACACGAAGGTACTAGTGGCTCCTCCAGAGATGACGACTTTATGATACCGGTGTTCGATCATTGAGGTGCTCCTAAATATAGGAAACAACAATGAACGACATAGATATTTTATTTTCATAATATGTTGTAAATATCCCCCCTACTGTATATTATCACTTGTTAGGTATTAAGATTACGTTCGTTTCGTACATTATGTATATGTACTGCATACATATGTACTATATCTTATATCAATTCTAAAGAGACATCTTATCATCGTTTATTGAATTCCACAGACTAATAATCTATTACTTAAAAAGAAATGCGATACTCTAATAACTTATAGTAGGTATATCCAAGGTCCATTGGCGCTCAAATTTTTATAAGAATAAACCCCTATGGTCTCAAGCTCAACCTTCTTGTTAAAATCTTGTAATTTACTTTATTATGATTTTATTGCAGTGTGTAAAGGTTGAAATCGATATTAATATTGTAAACAGGAATTATTCGATGGTTTGTTTGTAATGCATAAACTTTTAATATTAACGAAAATTCTCATTATTAGGTAGGTAAGTACTTAAGATGTATATTAAATTGATTGTAAATAATATAGACAAAGTCCAGATTTGCCTTTAGATTAACAAAGAAGATATTTGCTTTTTATATTCTTGTACATAAAATTAAATGTTTTCACTAAATCTTCGAATCTCCACTGAAGATTGTCTTGTGTCAGAAATAGAAGTTATGTAGTTAATAATCAAATTATATATATATATCTTGAAGAAAAATTATTAAAACTTTCATTTGTTCCAGGGATCAGTTTCAGCTTTTTAACAATGTTTTAAGCAGTTTATATTATTTTTTTATTAGAAATCCAACAGCTTTTTTAAACTTCTATATTACACTAATAATATTATATGATAATTTGATGAAATATAATTAATATACCTTATTTATTAGCAATGTTATCATCAAATAACTGATTGAGATAGTTTTATATCAACGTACCTACACAATTGTTATCTTCGTGCACGTTAAATAATATGTGACTGCATTCGCTACAGTGGTACTGGTTCTGCATACATTACTATGACGCGGCGGCGCGCCCACACGCCCCCTTGCGTAGACACCACAAACTACCTAGACACGTATAACTAAACGATCGTCAACATTATAAAAAACACGGACTCGCAAAGTGTATTCGGCTACGAGTAAATGCAGTTTGTTTTTTTTTCAATGTTGCGCAAATTATTGTTAGATTTTTTTGCAAAATCACTGTCATTATTCGTCGCTCCTCATTAAAATTTTTGATGCATGCGTATGATAATAACTATACATAACACATATACATATATAGCTATAAATGTACGTTAATAGGTTAGTTACCTATCGTAATAACCTTGTAAAGTTGTAATCAATCTCTTATGTTTAGCTAGTGGTATATGTGGTTTCTATCAAGGCACAAATGTGCGTTTTATGTTTTTAATCTGTATTTCATTTATAACTCCTAAGGGCTTATTCTATTTGTGCTCAATCGAAAATTCGGAAAAATTTGGAATTTATAACTTTGTAAAACCATATCAATTCAGATTATCTTTGCATGAATGGCCGTGTGTGAAAAATGCGTTTCTTTGAAGTTGTTTTAGCATTTCGAAAATATATGAAGTCTTTTGCGGATAAATAGAAAAGGGCCTTCAAGTTCATTCGATTAGTTTACGATTAGTGTATGTAAATAACACTGTTGGGTAGGAATTTTCTTGTGGAAAATCATGTGGTAGGATCAATAGAAAAAGTCTACGAGCTGAATTTTGAGAATTGAGTTGGGAGCACAATTATGTAGAGTCATAATCACAATAGGCAAACCAGTATTAATTGTATGAATTTTGTACTTTGTATGTTAGTAAAATTTATGTAAGAGTTATCACTTAAACAGCTAATCAAAAGATTCCCCTGAGCTTGTAGTGAAAACGGATAAATAAACGAAACTGAATGTCTATACATTCAGTTTCGTTTAGTTATCCGTATTATATATATATAATAGAAAATTTCCTTTCGGACATGATATAAGTCAAAGAACATCTATGTTCTGTGATATAAGTAATATCACAGATTTTCATTTTCACAAATGTTCAGTAGCTAATGTAGAAGTGGACTAAAACTTAATAGTTTCCATCGAAAGTACTTAATTGTTTAGTTTTAATAAAAAAAAATTAATAATAAGTTTTAAGATTCTTAGCTTTTTAAACCCATTTAGTAGCATCCTTTTAACAAACGGTATTATTTAAATTATATAATGTTTCATAAGTCAGCCGCTGTATAACAGCTGTAAGATAATAAATAGGTATATTTTATGTCGAATTATATTTTTATCTGTAATGTTTGTGATATGGACTTTATAGTGGAAAATATTAAACGAGAGGTCATAACTGCGTTTTTACTTATAGATAATGAATGTTTAAATATACTGATAGTGGAGGTCACAGAGGCATTGATCATTTTTCGAGCCAATATCATGTAATTAGGATCTGTGTTTGCGCAGAAAGTATGATTGTTAGTGAGTACTTTCTGTTTTCATAAGAAGATTTTCAGTAGGTATAAGACCCTATTTAAAGAAAGAAGTGAAATTTGATACTTCGGAGCTGGCAACGGTATAAGTTTTGCCATAATTCAATATTTTGGAAGACTGTGTACGGTAAAGCAATATATTTGCCTACATTCGACCCATTGAAGATGCAGCTACGTTTAATTTAAGTCTTTTGCGAAGACATGACTCGCTTATACCAATGGCTCCTGCAGCAGCACGTTTACTTTTACCATGTTCAATAAGGGGTTTTGCTTTAGCGATTTGTTGTTCCGTGACAGACTGAACACTAAAAAAAAAAGTAAATAAGATTTAAGTAAGTAATAAATTATAAAAATTTATTATATTCCCTATATTAAGAATCCGGGGCAAGTGTGCGTATGCGCCCACTTACCCGCGCACACTTTCCCTAAGACCGCAAAATTTAAAATAAGAACGACTGAGTCCAAAGTTATGAATATAACCTCAAATCACGCTTACGAATTTCAACAAAAATGTGCACGTTATTAAAAAAAATGTCTTACCTGGTGTTGCGTTACAATTTTGCGTGGCAGTGTTTTCTAAACTACAAAAAAAAAACCAATTAAATGGCCTAAGTTAGAACGCCTAAAGTTTCAAAACGCCATAAGGGGTCTTATACTCAAAACCGGGTCTTCTGCCCTACTAGGGAGAAAACGTCCATCTTATACATTGGGTAGGTACATATTTATTGATATTACATTTGTCAGATCGCCAACGAGGTAAGCAGAGAGATCTCGTATTCCTCTTTCAGTTTTCGCGTTGTATCAAAATAAGAAATATTCCATTAATTTCCATTAGCGCCATTTGATTAAATCATAATTTATATACTACCTCTGTTCTTGAATAAGCGTGTATGTGTAAAAGAGACTACAAATCTTGCGACAACCACTTTATTACCTGCTCTATAGATATTTCAACCCTTCATTAATTTACAGGAGATAGTCTATTCATTTCAGAGCTTTGCTCAGGTAACAGGTGTTGAGGTACTTACTAACTGGGCGTGGAGTTTGCTAAATATGTATTTTAGTTTTGCGGTTAACCTTGTAATATTATATGCATACAAGTAAAATTAAGATTCACAAGCACACTTGAACTAACACGACACTTTTTACTTAAATATGAACAATAGCTGTATTCATATTACTAATGACTTTTTGTCGTTTAGGCTCTTTCAGTAATAAAAATTATAAATGAATTCCAGTGGCGGACTAACCCCGTCGCGTCGGGTCAACTTTTCCAACTAGTGCAGAAACTTGATTTTGCGTTTACACTCTCCTCCTGCTAAGACGCCTGCTAAAACTACGAAACTGAGACTAAGACGCCTGCTAAAAAACGATAAGGCAGTACAACCCCAATTTATAATTTGATCAAGAGAACTTGCAGCCATTTTGAGGCCCCCCAGGACAAGAGGCCCGGGGCGGACCGCCCCCTTCGCTCCCCCTTAGTCCGCCACTGACCGCTTCATTAAAGGCATCAATAGTAACTCAATAAAAGTAGTTTTTTCTTCATGAGTAGAATATTTCATCATAATTGAATAGAGTATAAATAATCGTTTTCCATATTTTTGATTCTGCATAATAAAAACTCACAAAATATTTAATCAAGTTAATAAACCACTTAAATCAAATAAGAGTTAATATCAAAGCAATAAATCGTTTCGGTTTACAGAATTGAGAATGCTGATCAAAAAATATTATTGTTACAGAATCGATAGTACAATGTCGACGGCAATACAAAACGGCGTGGGCTTATTGGAGACGCGACTGAACGGCTGTGCTCACGCACACGGACTACAAAACGGATACGATATCGGACACACGGATGGATGCACGAACGGACACATAAACGGATACCAAAATGGCGTCGAGAACGGTCACCGTGTCGATGATCAGTTCCTGCCGCCACCCCTGCAGCTTGACGACAAGACGCGCGCACAGAAGGTAGGTTTATAGGAAGTTTATTAATTAAGACAGTAGACCCGATTTTTGCCACTGCTCTCTTTTTGGCCAAATGGCCCTTCGACGCGTGCTAACTAACGCATATACACGATTTTTGAAATGTTGCATTATGGCAAAATTAATACACTTCACTGCTGTGATGTGTCAAAGTTTAATTCTCTTACCTCTAAAAAATAACATAACATGGTCAATAAGAGTAAGCACAAATTACTTCTCATACAAAATGACTGCAAGACTAAAACTTAGATACCCATTTCTGCAATCTGCGCTTATCAATAATTCAATATTCTTTTATTTTATACGACGTAGACGACATAAAAACACATTATTTATTAAACAAAACAATAAAACCAAATAAAATATCCTCTGTGGAAGCTTAGACTCAATCGGTCAAATTCAATATTCACTTGATCAAATGTGCTATGAATATTGGCATAAAATCAAGAGAATGATAATCGCATAATTCTCACATACCATTTTAATTCATATTCCGTACACAAAATGAAATTATCGTGTTGCTAAGTTTTTTTTCGTAAATAGACATCTACAAAAGATGGTTTGTTAACATGTTGACGCATCTGAAAACGTTGATTAGACAAAACAACATACTTTTTTGTCGTTTAGCATTGACGTCTAATTTTCTAAAGGATAAAGTAGCTAGCTGTTTTTTGCCACTAATCAATTCAAGTTTAATGTAGTTTGAGTAAGTAATTTAACGGTTTACATTAAAGAACAATTGATTAAGTCAGATGTTCCCTCATCTACTTGTCTAGGTACCGTCCCATCTTACAAAAATGTCGAATTTGAGACTTACCTCTTATATTAGTCTTTGAGTAAAGAGGCCATAACTTTATTTATGTTCAGATTCCAGATTCCCAGAGTTGTGGATTTCATTGTGCTATCTTAATTCCTCTAATTGAAGGCAAAACATAACCAAATTATATTCTATCGAATCTATTATCTGAACAGAAGCAACCGTGGTGTACCCCTAAAACCACCCGTTACTGATGTAAGACATGTGTTACACAATGGCGACTAACCTCCCACTTTACATTTATTCGCCCGTTACCTACTAGTAGTTGGAAAACACAGGTATTAGGAATTACAATAAGATATACGTTTCTTTTATGCGGATATACGTTCCTTTCTGTTTATACTATTAGTAATAATTAATAATATAGTTTCTATAGTGGAAGTCAATAGGTACAGAAGGATATCCACTGCTTACTAGATAAATCATTAATTTACTTCCTGTCACTTTTATGGTTTATAATTACTTAAAAAATGTTACAACGCTCGTAATATTTCTATCATATCTAATAGTTACGATAACTATAGCTAACGAATAATTACTCACGAGTTTATATGTTTATCTTTCTATTCATGTTTAATCATTATTTCAATGATAATTTTATAACTACACCGTAATTACCAATAGTAATTATGTCAGTAGATTTTATAAAAAAATCCGAACCCGAATTCGAATTCACGACATTTAGTGAAGAAATTCTATTGATTCATTTTTTTTTATGAAAAAACAAGCAAAATTATCTCAGATATTCTGAGACATGTATAATTAGTCGAATTCAAATTCACTCAAGTGTTCGAATTCTCTTCAAAAGCGGCATCCGCTCAACCTTGAATTGGTAATAACTTTTCTTTCAGTTTTTATACAAAAAATGAAATCAATAAAATTTCTTCACTAAATGACACGAATTTGAAAGTGAATTCGAATTCGGGAACGGCATTCCTCTATAAATACAGGTGATGAAGTTCGGGAACACTGTCTGTACATGCTGCGTGAAACTCAATGACGGTTGATTTATATAAATAGAGACACAACATCTATAGTCTAGTAGAAAACCAGATATTACTGGTATAGAACAGTTTTTGTGTAATATTTACGACGTTGCCAATACATATGTAAGGTAAACTACAACTGTCACACGCCTTTCTGTTTATACTTAATGTATAAAATTTAAATATATTTATCTTTATACGAGTATAAGCATAATAGACATGACTCTGAATTGTCTAAACAATCATTACTTATAAAATTGCTGTATAACTATGGGAATCAAATAGTCGACATAACATTGTGTTACGAGTATATGTATTGTTGATTTAAATTGTTGATCTCGCTGAATGCATGCGTACGTCGGTGTGGGTTCAGGGTTTAGTTTAAGACCGATTTCAGGTCATTAACCTGCTTAATTTTCCAAAAAGTAAAAATTAATTAAAAATTTGTTCTGACTCTGAGCCTTGTAAAAATATAAAGAATTTCAAGCTGGAAGTGGAGAAGGCAATTCATTGCTCGTGAAAGAAATTGAAAATCAGTTAGGTACCTACCTACTCGCTACACGTGTTAATACAATATGTAAATATAAGACAAACAATAAGGTGACAAAAATCGTTTATCTTCATTGCCATAATTTGTTTTCAGTTACATTTATTGGTCACCATTAATTTTTATCAGTTTTGACCTGTGGGTCAAATAAATATCCATAATTAATTGTTTATACCTATAAACCAAAAATAAAAGATTAAAATATGTTTATAAACAAAATAGAGACATTCTTTGACACCGTGATATCTATATATTTTTTTTATAAACTTATGCATTTACCTCATAGCTTTTTGCTGACTGTACCGATTTTGGTTCTTTTATGTCATGTTGCCTCATTTGAATGTCAACGAGATCAAAGCATTTTGTTTTTGTTTATATCAAATTCATATTTATGTAATATATTTATCAGAAGTTTCTTTATTTTGAATATATATATATATTTTTCAAATACCGAAAATGACTTCAAATGATTGAAAAATAATCCTTAAAACTACAAAAGTTTATTAGTTTAAGCAAATCCCGAGTTCAAATGAAATTTCTAGTATTCTTTGTTGTATTTATAATTTATTATTTGACTTTTTTTAAGATTTTTATTGTAAATGATAATGTTTTTGACTGTAATTATTCTCAAAACTGGAGCATAATGTTAATAATAATAAAATAAACTTTAATAATATACATAAATGCCAACAAAAGCATAATAATTAATTAAATAATTAAATATTATATACAACCTGTTTCTTTCAATATTTAATTAAATATTGAAAGAAACAGGTTGTCGAGCGTAAAGTGAAAATGAATCATGAGTTTTTTTTTCTTTTATTTAAATTATTTTGATTCATAAAAGTTGCAATGAATGGTAATCAATTAACTACCATACTATTAATTATAATTAATCGCGGCCACCTTCGCTTCTTTACTAATTTAGCTCGGCAGTAGTTTTCATTAGCCGGCTAATTGAATTAAATTACAATAAACTTAGGTACCTAAATCAAAGGCCAGCATAAATCAAGGGCTAGTTATTGCATTTCTAGATGTTCTATGTTTTCGCCTGTAGAAAAGAAAACTTTAGTAATATAACAAAAATTACTTTTTAGTTACAATGTCTTACATAAATGTTCATTCTCATCATCAAAACCAGAAGTAAAGGCATCAAATAAATAGGTAAGCCCTTTCAGCTGAAAGTAGACAGAGAAAGAAAGATACCTGCCGTGGTTTTCTCTTTCTTTTTTAACGCTGAAACAGCGGAGACCCGGCCGGCTATAATGCAATCTCCATATAACCTTTAACACTTCAGACTGCGTTTCTTATTAATTATTACCACTTGATATTACTTTATAAAAAATATTCTGTCAAATATTGACAGTAGCAGGGTTCGATATTTAAAATAAATATAGGCATCAAAATATTTGATTTTTAAGCTGATAGTGGCTTTATTGAATATTTGGTCTTTTAAATCAAAAATATAAAATAAAGATTGAGTTTGATTTATTTAATATTTGTTTTTTTATTATGAAATAATTAAAAAGTATGTAGTATGCGTGCGAGGATTGCCAGTAACTTCTAAGGGAATACCCGGTTTATTACCTAAGCTTATTATAATAAACCTTAATACGTGAACTTAAGATTAAATTTTAAGAAAAATATTAAATGCACTTCGCGTTCATTTACGGAGAAAATCCAAAATATCTAGTAAGATTGCTACTTTGGGCCAATGTTGCCAGCGTTACACCAGGTTAATTAATTTTCTAGCCGAGACTTAATACTTAAACTAATAATAAATATTATAAATATCAATTGGTTGCCGGCCTGCCAGGTTGGTTATCAATTAAGCGTTTTTCGGTCGTCGATAAGCAAACAGAATCGGTAATAACTAGTATTGTTCTATGTGACAAGTCTATCTGATATCAAAGTGTGTGCTGCTGCCAATCTGTGCTATGTATGTGTATGTGTGTGTTGAATATAAACTAGGCCCGACAATTAGCCCCTGACCCGAGAATTGTCGATGCGAGCCACTTGAACGCGTCCAATGTGTTACGAACCAAACACCCGCCAAATGAAAATGAAAAGATTATCTGATAACCTTGATATTTGATCAATTTCGCATTCACAATGCTATACTGAAAAATATTCTTAATACAAAATGCTTAAAAAATCCACTTGGTCCCTGGCACCCTGCGATGGGATTCGAACCTTACGCAATCCGGGCAACTGCTCTAACCGCTGAGCTACCAAGGACCTAACGGGACTGACGAATCTTTCAAGCAATTGTTACTTTTCGCTGCTACAGAGCGTATTCTCATCAATGTTCAGATCAAATGTAATAATTTAAATAAATTCTCATCTTTATCGAGTTTCAATATTTGTAATAAAATTTCTTTCGGCTGTTTGGATGGATGCCCGAACATTGATGAGAATACTCTGTAGTACCAAAAGTAACAAGTGTTTGAAAGATTTTTCAGGCCTGTTAGGTCCTGGGTAACCTCGATATTTTTATTTCATTTTTGTTAATATAGTACAATAATCATTGTCCTCACTGCTGGGGCACAGGCCTTTATTAAGGACAAATCAAATCGAACCGAATAGGGAGAATAGGCCATGCCATGATCCACCACATTGTTTTGTTGGAGAGCAACCCCTGAACACGCCTTCCGAAGCACAGAGAAGCTCGCGATAATACATTTTCAGTCAGTCATCCAATTACCAGCTTTTGCGAAAATTGCCTAACTTCTGTATTTCAAACCGAAAGCGCTGGTCACTGCGCTATCGAGCTCTTCATTTATCGAATAATCACCAACTAAAATCATATCCAGATTCTGTTAAAATATATGTTAAATCTGTGTTTTAAACGAACGAAATAATTAAGGCTACGTTTCACATTGTTTTTACTAAGTTATTCAAAAGTCTAATAACAAAGATATTAAATATACTTCATAAACGATCACTAGGGAATTAACTGGATCATACGATGTCCACGTTTATTATATTATCTACACAGAAATAAACCTCAAACTTTGAGATATTAGAAAATGTAACCCGTCACGTGCTACGTACTGTTTTGAATAACTTGTATAATCAAGTCGCTGATACTATGATATGATAACCTTATACACTTTGCTATCAATTCCTTGGACATTTCTAGTTTAACACTACGTTTTTCCATTAATAATAATCAATACGCAAATAAAAATTATGAGTAGCAGTCGTAAACATATTTGTAATATTTCAAAGTCAAATAATACCATTTTATATTATTATAGGTATTATATATATTAATGCATACCAAAATTTAATAACACTGCATAAATGCAGGATTTGATGCACCTTTAGCGATCCTATTGGTAAGGCATGCCCCGATCTAAGAGAGGCAAACCGCGCAATTGCCCATAGCGGCAAAATTAAGAGTGACAAATACAATAATTGGTTTTTGATTCTGCTGATTTTATCTGATGATTTTTTAAAGTATTTTCTACCGATTAAATAAATGTCAATATTGAATTGAAAATGCAAAATTATCAAATAAATAATATTTAACAGTAATTACCTATGTGATATTTGTTCAGCGATAATAATCTCCCAAATTTATTTCGTCTTGTTATCTTTCAATAATTTCTTTATCAAGATTAAAATATTACATGAATTACAGCATATGAAGTGAACATCAGCAGTTTTATATGAAGGTAGAGCTGTTGTGTAAACACATTACTGAACGCGTGCGTCAACTGTATGATGGCTGGTGATCGTATCGGGATAACAGACAGACAGATAATCATGTTTGATAATCTTTTACTGGACACGCAAATCAATATACTCAAAATAGAAAACTATTCGTTGTCGTTGCTTATGTTTCTCTTTCAAAATTTGTTTTTACAATTTTATAATAATATCTTTTGTCCGTCCGGTACAAACATTCTATCTTATCTTCACGCCGTAGGCGAGAGGTAGAGAAAACCGTACATTTAAGTACATTTTCGCTTGAAATATGTCAATTTTGATATTATCTTGATATGCATATGAAATAATAAGTGATAACTGCCATGATGGCTGTGAAGTACAATAAGTAGCTCCTATTTTGCCCCACAGTTTATTTGATTAGATAACAAAACCCACATGAAAGAATTTATGGATTAAGTCGCGTGTTAGATATAGATTAATTAGGATTTACAATATTATGATAAAATACGTAGTAAGTGAAATGTAAAAAAATAAGTATACAGAAAAAAGTTAACGTCACTTTGTTGAAAAAATCAGAAGGAAATTTCATTGGTAACAATGGCATTGCTTTACTTTAATTTTGGATAGGATTGGACTCACGATTTGAGTAGTTAATTTTAGTAGCTATTTGTCTCTGTTTGTGAGTACAGTATGATACTGCACACTAAACACACTTGTGTGTGTGTAAGTAGGATATACATATTCATCTTAAATTCTAATGGAATGAATAAAACTTCTTGCCAGTTCTTCTCAATAGAAAGTACAAGGTCTTCCGCCGTAGATTTACGAACCGATGGGGTAGTTCTTTGGCATTTTCGAGGACATACTCGTTAATAGACTGAATAAGAGATATTGTATTCTCCATTTTATAATATAAAAGTTTAAAATTATGTTTATAATTTCTGTGTTTTTGTAGTTAATATACAACATATAGCTTGGTGACAACAATTTATATAAAAAAACAATGTGATTTTAGTAACTAATGTGATAAGAAAAATATTTCTCGGTGAAAATATACTTTATTTAACTAAATACTTGTTGTAATTATCGATATCTTTTCAACACCACTACGCGACGAGTATAATAAATCTATCGTAAAACCTCGAAACTCCAACGATTAAATATTTACTTAACTCATTTGCGACGATAATTTGGTCGTAAGCGGATGTTGTTGGTAAATTGAAGATATGTATGAGTATTTTTTGTGAATATTGTAATTAACAAATATAAATATTGAAACCTTTCATTAAAATAAAATAAGACAATAATAAGCCGGTTTCAAAGTCTGCCACATCAAGTCCCAGGTGCGATTCTTGGTAATAGAAGAGGTTGGACTATTGGTAATATTAGTTCATTTCCCACTTAATTTTAATGTAGGAACTGAACTTTCCTATAATGACTCGGAGTTGGGTGCTCGACCGGAGTGATACCACGGCCTCACAGAAAACCGACGTGAAGCAACGCTTGCGTTGTGTTTCGTCGTGTGAGTGAGGGTACCGGAGGCCCAACCCCTCCCTATTCCCTTCCCTCTACCCCTCAACCCTTCCCTCCCTATGATCATATTCGTCCCTCAAAGGCCGGCAGCGCGCTTGTAGCCCCCTCTGGTGTTGCAGGTGTCCATGGGCGAAGGTAATCACTTACCATCAGTGATCCGTCTGCTCGTCTGCCCCCTATCCCATAAAAAAAATGTATCTTAGAATCTAAACAATGTATGTAATCTTAACTAATATTTTTTATGTATATGATCATTGGGAGTTTTATAATATCAGTCGTAATATTTTGAACGTTATATAGAATCCGATTGTGCTTTTAGAAATGACGCATACTTTTCCATATCACAACAATCACAATATATAATTTGAGCACAGGCAAAATAATCACCATCATCTGATGGCAAAATAATCACCATATTTTTTGTCAAATAATCATTACAATGCTTACGTGATAATAAAAAAACATAATGATGTAGAACAAACACTTGGTTTACAAATTCAAACTGTATGCTTAAATAACTATTACATTCTTTATAATTAAAATTTTTGAATACCATCGCTAAGTCACTAAATATTTTTATTATTTTTCATAAACTTTTTCCCCAACATACAACATAAATACCATTGACAGATATTTTATGAAAGTAACATTTTTCTCCAGAATTTAATGTCTTATAATCGTATCAAAAGGGCAATTAGTTCAGCATTTGTCTTATGAATCGATAATTATAACTCGTATTATAAATTTATTTCCATCACATACGTAATGATTTCCTTTTTCCAAGTTGCAGTAATTGTAACTTGTAGGTTGCACCACTTGGTGTACCATATTTCGTTATAATTTAACACTCAATACTAATTTACCACTTTGACTGTCTTTTGATGCTTATATTTGAGATAAGCGGCTAAGTTAGAAACACTGCTGTCAAATACAATTGATTATTCTGTATCATTCGTTCTTCGTTATTAAGAAACGAAATAGCGCCATGACATCGCCAAGATGTCGTATCCTATAGCTAGAATTATACCTAGGGGAGTAAGGCGGTCGCACTGACTGCAATTACATTAAAACGTTTGTTTGACATTTTGTAGATTCAGACCTTGCGGATGTCTAATCCAGCTACTTTAGTACAGTAACTTACACATCCAGTTAATACTTAGATATCTGTATATTGTTGTAAATAAATACACGTAAACAAGCAACAACAAATGTAATATACATAAAGTATACAGTTAACAACACTAAACGTTTGATCTTAAGTATATAAAATAATAAATATTTCACATCTAAATAGTTGTATTAAAGTTTGGATTACCTATATTTGTTATAGATCACAACAAGGCTATCCGATATGATGTTGGGTGGTGCAGAGCTGAGACGCGTCGGGGCAGTATTCGAGCGTGAGTTGGAGCGAGGTCTGCAAGAAGAACCCTCCAGTCTTCAGATGGAGAACACATACATCCCCGAGCTACCAGATGGGACAGGTCCGTCTGTTACTTATTCAGCAGATATTAAAGTTGCAACGATTATTTAAATCGCATTGTATGTTTGAATGAAAGAACCATTGATATATTCGAACCATTATTAAATTGAGACAAATTGCTATATTGTCTATTCGTATAATATACTGACGGCGAATATAACCTCACAGAATCATTTGTACACGTAGAACACACTTACGTTTAGAAGAAAATATTTATGAGTTATGATTCTAAATACAATTTTTACCAATTTGTAGAGGAAGGTTTGTTTTTGGCGTTGGATCTGGGTGGCACCAACTTCCGTGTGCTACTGCTGGAATTACGTGGTGGACAACTTGTGCGCGAGGACGTCAAGCAGTACCACATAAGGTACTTACATCAGATCATTTTACTTGGAAATTTAAAAATATTATTATATTTTATTAATTAAATTAAATTAAAATTTAAAATAAAATAAATACGTATGACGATAACAATAATGTATTGATCTGGTAATGACATGGTTTTTGTGAATGTTATTACTTCTATTAGGTGAGTTTCTAGCTCGTTCTTCTTATCAGTCAAAAGTCGTCCTGAACGAGTGGTAGGGAAAAAAATTTGGACGATTGAAAAGTCCTTTTAAGAAGTCTATTTGAATAAGATTATTTTGACTTTGATAATACTTTTACGAGGATTTAAATGTCCATATGTATACGAATACTATAAAGAGAAAAGATTCTATTGCTGTTTGTTTGCATCGAATAGGTTCCGAAGCTAATAGACCGAATTTAAAAATCGATTAATTGGCCTAAATTTGATAAACAGATGTTTCGTTATTTGCTTTCCCACTATTTTCTTTATGTTAATCTTAAAACCTTACTAACTAGATATTTTGCGTTATATGAATTCTCGAAAAATAAATGTGCAATGGAAGAATTTGTTTTTTTTTATTACAGTGACGCTTTACGTCTGGGTCCTGGTGAAGATTTGTTCAACTTCTTAGCTGACTGCGTGCTGGACTTCGTACAGTCTGAGGGCATGGAGAAGGAGTCATTGTCTTTAGGTATATAATAATATCAAATATTATTGTATTCAAGATTTCATAGTTCAAACCGGGCCCTCCTTGCAGAATATCTAATTCATCCATCCGCGTGAGATGATCAGTAGCAGGTTGTGTCAAGTAAATTAGCCGTATTAAACCAAAACTGCTCAAGGTGGGGTGGTTGTGAGCCCTGGTTTGAGGCTTCAAATGCATTTCCCCTGCGTTTTAAAAAAAAGGTTTCATAGTTCCAATAATGAAGATGCTGTTATATTATCATCGAAGCAGTTTTCATACATATATTTTGTATTTTCTAATTGGCACAATTTATTTTTCAACGGAAAAGATAACTGAAATTTTGTACAGAAAAGGTATGTCCTGATCGTTGGTAAAAGATGAAAAATGTCAATCGTTCTATTATATATCTTGGCACTGAGTAATTTAACAATGATTTGTGTCATAAATGATCTGAATAAGAGGTCATATTAAATCTCCAACATCAAAGTTTACGGTTTTCGTCGGCAGGGTTCACGTTTTCATTCCCGATGCGGCAGCACTCGATCCTGTCAGGTGAGTTGACCACGTGGACGAAGAGCTTCAAGTGCGGCGGCATGGAGGGAGTGGACGTTGCGGCGCTGCTGCAGCGCTGCCTCCATCAGCGCGGCCTCGACGTCACCGTGCGCGTGCTGCTTAACGATACCACCGGCACACTCGTCGCCGGTGCACACATCGATCCCGCTGTTGGGGTATGAACTAAAATGACTGTGGAACTTTCCACGATGTGATTACTGTAGTTTTAAATTTTACACAGTCTAACATTAATGAAACCTATACATATAGCAATCAAAGAGTTGTATGGTCTGTATGTCTATTTCTCGATATTCAGAAAAGCCACCAAAAAAATATGACAAAGGCTGTATTCTCTTTCTATTTTATTTCATACAGAAAAATCGGAACGGAACATAACGAAAAAGCTTAGAAATCGTCAGTTGATTGTAATAAAGAAGCCGGTTGTCGAAGTAACATAGGTAATTTGCGTGATCACAGATCGGCGTGATCCTGGGCACCGGATCCAACGGCTGCTATATGGAGCGTGCGGACCGCGTGCGACATTGGGAGGCGGCGCACGCGCGCGTGCATGACGTCTGCGTGGACGTGGAATGGGGCGCGTTCGGGGACAACGGCTGCCTCGACTTCATACGCACCGACGTTGACAGGGAGGTGGACGCCAACTCCCTGCTCGTCGCATCCTTCACGTCAGTTCTTTTTTAAAATAAATATTCAATCAGGTGAAGTCCGACAACTTCCCTGACTCGGGGTGTTAAAGTGAGCGATGGCTCGTTCTTTTTTGTGTCTTTATCGAGGGAAGGCCTGTGTTTCGATGACCTCTTAGGGGGCGTCCATAAATTACGTGAGGTGTTTTTTAAATTTTCTGTCCCTCCCTCCCCCTCTGGTGAGATATCGTGAGATTTTATTCAACCCCCTCCCCCATCCCCCAATCTCACGTGAGATTTTTCAAAATGCAATTTGATGAGTACTTGCGAGTATTTGCCTTGTTGTAGTATCGAGTACTCAGTATCGAGTATCGCTTTCGAAAGTATCGATACCTACTCGGTATCGAAAGTATCGTTCGAACCCTACAAATATGGTGGTTTGACATTCAGTAGATGTAAAGCATCGAAGTATGAATGAAATTATTTTCTTTTGAACGAATAAGTGAATGATCTTAATCGTATACGATTACGCTAAGATTAAATCTTAAGCATGTACAATCTGGATTAAATGGACCAAAATAGTATATATTTTTTTGTTTCAATCAGAAAAAAAATTGCGTGATATTTGCCGAAACCCCCCCTCTCTCAAACGTAAGATTAGATGAGATTTGCCTCGACCCCCTCCCCCCCTTAAACATCTCACGTAATTTATGGACGCCCCCTTAACGAAAACTATCTACGCCGGCTCCGATCGTAATTTTTACAGTAACTATAATCCAGCCAAATACGATGAAAAAAAAATATAAACAAAGCAAATCAGGGTGGGTCATCATAAGTTAGATGATAAAAAAATTATATAAAACTCTTATTTCTCTCCAGGAAATATTACTCATAAAATAACGAAGTAATGTGCAGTATTACTTCGTTATTTTATGAGTAATATTTTAAGCCATAAATTACCAGAAACACTCATAAACCTTAAATATCATGACAAAAAAATTGATAATAGTAATAAAGCTCAAATTATATTTACTTGACAACTCTATAACTTAAAGAGTTTAGATATTAGGCAAACTTTCCAACTTTCCAAAGAAAGTTGTCAATTATTGTAAAACATTTTCCTTTTGATTGTCTACATTTGAAATCGATCGCATAATGTAAGCCGACCCCGTGTAAAAGTTCGGTATTCCTCTCTACTGTTTAAAACGACAAATAGATTTTTTTTATCTATAGCATATAATTTGTCTATAGCATTTATAGCATTATGAACTGATTGCATTACTTATTTATAAATAGTTTAGGAACTAGTAGTACATTTATAAGTAAAACAATTTTGTTGACATATGACGTCTTCCTTGTAATGTTAAGACATTGCACATTAAATTACAAAAAATAGGTAAAATGGAAAAAAGGAATATAATGTTGTCTAGTTTAGAAAGGTTATTAATATCTGCCTGTCACTGGTTGCTAAGCAACGCTTTGTTAGTAAACATTCTTCATCGAATTTGGCTGTAGTATTGCTGACGCTGTGCTACAGCCTCAAAATAAAGCTGAACCGCATGAGTGGATGCACAATAACGACTAACCGAATTCTATCTCATCGAACGTTTCGTAATAATTATCGACCCTCATCGAACGTTTCGTAATAATGATCAACCCTGAGGGTTAAGGAAAAAAATCCGTAGTAGATATTTTCGCAAATGTTCTACAGTATAAAAGTTTGTTATTGTCGTGTGACAGGTTCGAGAAGTACATCGGTGGCAAGTACCTGGGCGAAGTGTTGCGTGCGTCGCTGGCGGCGCTGGCCCGCGACCGGTTATTCCCCGCCCCGCCTCGCCCCGACTCCTTGCAGACCGCCGACCTCAGCGCCATAGAGGAGTCAGTACATACATATACCCTAGTTCGGTCGCCAACAGACACCGCTTTTTGCCTACTGATAGATATCGTAAACATTTTCAGTTTTATTAATAAACAAAGTTTAGCTTCAGAGTAAATTTGCGCTAAAATTGCAATTTTATTATTAGTCCTAATTCTTAATATACAGAGAATAAGCAAATCTACTATTTGGTAGGATTGAATATTACACCCATAGAAACTCGTACTAACTTACTCGTAAGCAAAGCTAAGTCTAAGTGCAGTGTCAGCGTAAATTTACTTGGACGCTAAACCTTGTTTAATAATAACCAGGGTTTGCAAAAATCCAATATTTATAATAAATATCAAAATATCCGATATTTGATATATATCATGCATATGAAAAGCTGCGATTTTTGAGCTGAAAGTGGCTTTATTTGATATTTGATCATTTAAATCAAATCAAATCAAAATTATTTATTCAGTCTAGGCTGTGACAAGCACTTGTGAAAGTCGAGAGCTACGCCATCGGTTCGTAAATCTACGGCGGGAGACCTTGTTGGAATCAAGAATGTCAAAAAAATGAGTTTGAGTTATTTAATATTTGTTTATTTATTATGAAATAATTAAAAAGTAGTATGCGAGCGAGGATTTCCAGTAACGTATAGGGGAAGACTCGATATTTCCAGTAAGTAAGATTGCCACTTCGGGCCAATGTTGCAAGCGTCACATCGGGTTGGTTAACTTTCTAGCTGAGACTGAATACTCAATGCTCAAACTAACAATAAATATTATAAATATCGATTGATATATACATCGATGTATGTATATATCATGATATATATCCGTTGATATTTATCAGCGAATCCTGTTAATAACAATGTTTAGGTTTACTTTACTATGAAAAATAAGAGATATGTAATGAATGCCGGGTCCATTGTATGAAATTCTCTCTGCTTGCCGACCGGAATATGGACTAGTCTTTCAAAGCCATGTAAAACCCATATCATATCTGCAGTATGGAAACATACACTGTTTTACGAGGCTGGAGACAGGCTCGCCTATCAAAATTATTGTTTGAACCTTCGACGATCTCCGTAGCCGAGTGGTTCGCACGCAGGTTTCAAGGTGTCGCCGTCTCTGAGGCCCCGGGTTCGATACCCGGTGGGATCAACCTAGAAACTGGGCTTTTCTATATTGGTCTCGGGTCTGGGTGTTGAGTCACCTTCGTTGTCTTAGAAACTCCGTAATACAGGGGCTTTAGGTACTCATCTTAGAATCTGAGCAGTGTATGTGATGTTGTCTATTATTTATAGTATATTTTTCGTTTCATCCTATTCATAAAGAAGGTCTGTGAACTGTGATAGATAATAAGGGCATACATTGCACTGGTTTTATGGAAATCATAATGTAGACCATCCATTCAAGAGACGATAAATATTGGATAAATAAATTAAAGTGTTATGTATGCGTATGCGCAGAGAGAGTGAGAGAGGTGAGTACGCGGTGACGCTACGCACGCTAGAGGGCGCGTGCGGCGCGCGGCTCACTGAAGCGGACGCGCGCGTCGCGCAACACGTGGCAGCTGTGGTCTCCAACAGGGCAGCACAACTCGTCTCTGTCTGTACGTATTACCCTTATTATATCTCGCATTCGGATTCATGAAGGTTGTTGTATGTTTAGCAAAAACAATCAGGAGAGACAATATAATTACTTAAGATAACCGGCGTACTGCCGTTATTATTAATGTCATGAAAACCACTTTGGATGGGGTCGTAGTTAAAAGCGTAAAAGAAATTTCAAATTATTGACAACACGTAGGGTAGTTTTATTTATGTGTTATACTGTTGTACTGTTATAATGTGTTATACTAACGCCCGGTTTCTGAATTGAGAATTTGAAGTTGAGCACGTCTCAAACCGTGCTTAAGCCGCTTTAAATGTCATTAAAACATGTTTTCATTGCTGATTTATAAATTTTTTATTATCAGTTGATAGCAATTTGGTAAATCTTATACTTTTTGCCATATGAAACGTAAAAAAACTTAATTTATTAAGAATAATCAGTTGAGATTTTGTACTTTCTCAATTCAGAAACCGGCCGTAAGCCAATAAAATCCATCATGAAGATACCTATACATAAATATATCGTGCAGATTATTTCGATAAGACATTTGAATTCTTGGTCGATTAGCATGCGTAGCATGAAAAACTGGAAAAAATATTAATGTATGTAATCATGACATGTCAAGAGTAAAACAGAGTTTATCTACGGTAGAGAACGAATCCTATTGTCAAACTGTGCTCGGCATATATTTACTCGACGAAGCGAAAAGGAGGGTTATGATTTTAACCGCTATGTATGTTAGAATGTTCGTCAACTGCGACACTACTCATCGTAAATGTACTATTGAGCCCGCATGCTATAGGCTATGTGACATTACATTAAATTGGCAATAGCGCCCTCTAGAGAGCATAAAGTAAGAGGGTAAAAAATATATTATTCAATATTTCCGTGTAGGGTATCAAATGAAAGGGCTTCATTAGCAAATTTCAATTAAATTGATAGCTTTTGTTTGCAATTTTGCTTTAATACATCCGAAAATTAATTAAATAAAAAAATAAGTTCTAAAACTAAATCCCGACTACAGCTAAATCACGCTCGAAAAAAGTTTGAAACAAGAAATTGATTTTTTTGCTATTGCTATACTACACTTGCGATGACCAAAGGACACTGTAGTCGTATGCCACTGATCATACATAACAAAACAAACTGTTGTGTGTTACGTGCCTTACAAATAACAATATACTTGACGTAACTGCAGATAGGTTGCAATATTAGTTAAAATACGATCGCTATGAGTTAGTGGCCGTATTCCGTAAGATTGCTATCGGAAACTCTGTCGAGACTGCCTCACGTTGTTTAACGAATCGTGTGTGTTGGTGTTTGTAGGTATAGCGGCACTGTTGCGGCGCATGTCGCGGCCGTACGTGGTAGTGGCGGTGGACGGGTCCGTGTACAAGCGACACCCGCGCATCAAGTCCCTCATGCAGCGGTACATCGCGCTCCTCGCACCTGAACACCCGGTACCTAATTACATAACTGACTTAAGTAACACCTGACGATGTTCATTATTGGTACTGCTGACTGATGTTAGCGATCACTATTGTACCTACTTATATTTTTCTGTCTTCAGAATTTTTGTAAAAATTAAATAGCATTAACACAACTCTTTGGACTAGCCAAAGAGTTATGTTAATGCTATTTATTTTTTACCTAAAAAATTTACGTTGAAGAGTATGTACATCTCTCATATTCTCAAAAAAAAAAGAAAAATTTTATGATTTTATCAAAAATAAAATTAGTTATGACTAAAACGAATTTATTTCATACAATGACTCATTAGGATTTTATTTTTTGCTTTGGTGTACTGAGGCCTGGTCCGTATTTCATATAGATAATTTGGAACATAATATCCTTAGAATGATTCATAAGTTGTGGATATAACATAATCTTAATGTATGTGTACAGTTCTCCCTACTCCCGGCGGAGGACGGCAGCGGTAAAGGTTCGGCGCTGACTGCAGCGATCGCCGCGCGCATGGCTTCCCGCTCTGACTAGCGCCGCGCCCCCTTCACCTTACACACCTCGCTCACTCATCTATAATTATACTCTAAAGACGCGCACTTATTAACGAGCTCTAAATATAACTCTTGAATGTTATTATTACTGAAACCATCAGAAAATCATAGTGTGTACATTATTGTCGCAGTGAATCGCTGACATCTCAGTCGGTGGACGTCGTAAGTGAAACTGTTTGATGCAAACACACCGGTACCTCGTTATTATATCGATTTGTTACAGTTAAAACTCCCAAATGGGTACGCTTAGTACATCTGTATAATGAAAATTAAGTGTTCGATGTGTTTTCACACTCATAGGAAAGTTGATTATTGCTGGTGATTATCATAATATTATCAAAATATAGTGCTCATTTCGTGACAGTACGATATATGAGTTGATATGATTGCTTCAAATGATATTAAATTTGGAGTTTAATGAGAATATCCATTACGTTCATAAGCTATTTTTTTAGAACGTGTCTGTTTCAACATTAAACACTGCATGTGTAATTTAAAAGTAGCTCATCGATTTCACTTTAAATATGCACTAAAAATATATTTAATGAAGCTGGTTTTGTTCGTGCTGTACTGTCAAAATAAGCTGATGTGGTATATTAAACTCTGCAAAAACAGCTGACATAAAAAATCTCAGGTAAAAAATTACAATAATACTTGAAAATATAAAGTGACTAAACAACAAAGCACCTAGTAGAGTACCCTGTAGTACTCTTAAGTGCCATTAGCTCAGCAAGTAGGAGAGAGAAGCTTTTATAATGACTATAATCTGAAACAACTTCAGCAAATTTTGCCTAATAAAAATAGTTATATAACTTTCATCAATTTCAAATTTCAGAGGGAATTGTAAAAAAGTTTGGATCAACATATTTTGTTGTATTCAATTTACGGGTATTTTTCGCATGTGTAATTCAATGGATTAACTAAAATAAAAAGTGGAAATGAAAGCTCATTTAATTTTGCGATGTATGTGGTGTAATGTCTTATCTAAGCACAATGGGAAATGTGTGACATTTGGACTTTCTATTTTCCATGTAATGTTGTGTTTCAATTTTAATTATTAAGTGTTTACTCGCAGGACGAGCTGCTGTGTGCAATTGTTTAGTAAGTAAGGGGCATGTATGTGATATTTTTATAGAATCAAAATAGATTTTTACCCTGTCTAGATCTTTACATAGTAAACTTTATAGTTTCATTGTTTATATATCATAGTTGTTTTTACATGTAAAAATATAATAATGAATGTGTCCTAATTAGCGTCGTATCTTGTAGCTAGACTGCTCTGTAGTGAATTGATTTACGACAGAAAGGGAATTTTTTAACATTTACTTGAGCGATCCAGTCGAAAAAGATGGACCTATATAAAGGGGATAGTATGGCCTTACCTTCTTTAAAATACAATTGTATTGCATTTTATAGGTCATGAGAAGCTCCCAGGACAGTATATGGATACTTGTTATATTAAGTGTTAGGATTAAGGTTTTACGTATCGTGCCATACATGTACATTCGTATAAATACATAAACGAAAATATTATATAACATCAGTATATACGAGATAATTACATTACATATTGTGGATGGAACGTCATGGTGACGATATTTTTCAGTGGCGACAGATGGCGTCAGTCATTTCATTTCATATGTTTATTTTTTTATTAACAGTTACCGTAACGTTCCAACTATAATGAGAAATATTGAAGTATGATATTATATATCATATTTTTTTATCATAAATCACATTGGTTGATTGAAGCCCTAGCTTTATATATACCTATGTCGCAGCCGAGTAGTATAATCAGCCGACCAATTGGGCTGCTAGACCTTCAATGAATTTGAATTATTAAAGGGCTAGTCGCCCAATTGGTTGGCTGATTATACCATTTGGCTGCGACATATATATGAAAATACATTGATAAATACATCGATGAATCATGGATATTATTACTACGATACTATTTTGACATACCTAGGTGAACCAGTGTAAATGAAAGAGCTATTAATGTAAATGATGTAAATCTTTTGAAGGATAATGCATTTTGTAGTGGTATATAGTTTTAAATTTAATATTATAAGAATAAATTTTCGTTTTCTTTTCAAAACTTTTTGGGTTAGCGACGCTGTTTACCTTTAATATTATACAAACTGAAAATAAATATTATACTAGCGATTGTATTTATAATTATTATTATAAATGATTTTATTTTTTATTCTCATCTGCGGAAATATACAATGTTATTATTTATGAAAAAAATATAAAACTGAATATTATGTCTTTTTTATTTTTGGTCCAATAATTAATTGGATTATAAGAGCACGGCATAAAAGAGCTTTGAAGAAAGGCGTGCAAAGTCACGGTATAATGGCTAAAAATAATAATAACGAATGTAATAGTAGAAAATATTATTTAATTCGTACATATTAGTATCTTAACATATATATGAAAATACATTGATAAATACATCGATGAATCATGGATATTATTACTACGATACTATTTTGACACACCTAGGTGAACCAGTGTAAATGAAAGAGCTATTAATGTAAATGATGTAAATCTTTTGAAGGATAATGCATTTTGTAGTGGTATATAGTTTTAAATTTAATATTATAAGAATAAATTTTCGTTTTCTTTTCAAAACTTTTTGGGTTAGCGACGCTGTTTACCTTTAATATTATACAAACTGAAAATAAATATTATACTAGCGATTGTATTTATAATTATTATTATAAATGATTTTATTTTTTATTCTCATCTGCGGAAATATACAATGTTATTGTTTATGAAAAAAATATAAAACTGAATATTATGTCTTTTTTATTTTTGGTCCAATAATTAATTGGATTATAAGAGCACGGCATAAAAGAGCTTTGAAGAAAGGCGTGCAAAGTCACGGTATAATGGCTAAAAATAATAATAACGAATGTAATAGTAGAAAATATTATTTAATTCGTACATATTAGTATCTTAAAGATAGTGTATAAATATATTTTTCTCTAAAATAACTTAATCAATACATAAACAATATTATTAACTTACTTGTACTAAAACATAAAATAAAAACTTTTCATAAGCGACAGGACGCTGCAAAATCAGGCTTAAAACACATATAAAAATAAAGCTTAAAATTAACGACTTAAATAAAAATAAATTTATGTGATTTAAATTTTTTTTAATAGGATGTTATAATTGATAAATTTGTCATCATTTGAGGTTTTCGAGAAGGATCGGTTGTATAATAAATAAAGCGACTGAAAAGGCTGTTGAAAACTGAGCTTGATCTAGATGTATTTAAGGGCGCCTATTACCCGAGCCGGGTAATTACGGGCCGAGCTGGACGGAATCCTCAATAAGTTTCATATAAAAATTAAACTACCACTTAAAATATATTTTATTTTATATTGTTAATTTTATTTTGTTACAGTAGTCTAACATAATGGAATTACTATCAATTTCCATCAATATAATCACACATTTAACATCCCACTTTAAGAATAGTAAGCTTATGACTTTTATGGTGCATAAAGTGCTTTTTTTTACGCGGAGTCGCTAAACAGATACGGCCCTGAAGGTCCTCTATTTTTCCTTCATTATACAAAAGGATAAAGACGTAAATCAAAACATAATAAATACTGATTGTGTAAATACAAATACAGTCTTCAATTAATCTTTTTCTCCCTTCAGTATTTATCAGCACATCGGCATTGCTATATGTCAGGGGAATATCTTTGGTGTATCAGGGAATATGCTCAAGGCGCGACAGCTCAGTCTTAAGCCTGTATAACATAGCTTAACTCTTGAGATTTATGTGTAATAGTCAACAGTAACTCGTGGAGCGATATTTGTTTCTATTTTCGAGATTGTTTGTGATAGTGTGATGATCAGCAGACGGATTGGTCATCGTCATCTCGGTGAAGCATCATGAGACTTCTACTTTCTCGCGGACCTTGCGAAGAATGCTTTGCAGTTCCGAAGCTGAAGTTGTTTTGTACTGCGCATGAAACAAAGACATATTTTACAAGATATAGAACGAGATTTTTTTCGCTTAGTAGCCTAAAACAAAACTCCCTAAAACAATATGAGTGTTATTAATAAACAAGTTTTAATATCAGAGGAATATAATATCTCTATATAATATCTCTCTATAATATTCTCTGTATAAAATTAGTTTGTCAAAAACGGTTGGACAGGTTTATTAAACACTTGAAAAAAGGAAGTGTTAGCGGTATCAAGATTAAATTATAAAATTCGTGAAGTACTAAGATCGTGACCGTGGAGTAAGTATACCACAGTTTTGTAGTGAGAGCGCGTCTCACCGTCGTATCGGGGCCAGCGACTCACCCCGGACACGTTCCGTTGCACTAGCACCTGGCTGTAAAGTCGCTTGCCCTCGTCCGCGCCCAGCACGCGTTCAAGCTGCTCGCGCGATAACGAGAACAGCTGGTGGCCCGGCACGCGCAGCTGCCGTCTGGCGGTCTCGCTGAACCCCTTAGCCTCTAGCCAGTCCACCACTTCGTCCGGATTTGATTTCTGTTGAAGTAACTAATTAGTTTCTAATATTATAATTTTTAAGAAAATTATTTTTGGTGATTTCTACCTAACATTAACATTTCATTTACCTACCCGCGCAGCACGACGAAATCAAGAACGTTTTGTCTGATGTCACTTTTCTTTTCTGGTAAGGAATACCTAAGACGATCCGACGCCTTGATCGTATTATTATGCCACAAGATAAATTCATGCATTGATAACCGGATCGCACATGAAGGCTTTTGTACCATTACCAATAGAAAAAAAATAAAAAATATACACGTTTGTTTTTTTTAATGGAGTTGTACGTAATTTTAAACTTTAATCCTACTTTAATCTGATAGTTTTCCTTTTATGGAAGACGAAAAAAAAAAAGCATCCCCATTTTACATGTAAGGGATGTACCACAAAATTCTTTATTTTTTCGACTATACTGGTTCGTCGCCGTAATTAACGTGCATACTCATACCAAATTAGAACTTTCTAGTATGTGCGTGCGAACCTAAAAGGGTTTCTTGTTCACTACGGAACCTTAAAAAAGCATACGGATTATACGGTCATGTTTTCTTCACTTCACAGTTCGTCTGGGCTTTTTAACGTAAACAGTCACAACAATAGTAAGTATAATTTATCTATTTACTTTATTTATTAAACTTTATTGACCAATAAAGAAATGGTACAAAAGGCGGAGTCAATGCTAATGGCATTCTCTCCCAGTCAACCTTTAGGAAAAACGATAAACACGATGGCGGCATAAAGTAAAGATCAAATATGCGTAGACATGCATAGACACTAAATATAAATATTTATATTATCTTTAAGTGTATTCTGCTTATAGTTTTTACCGATATTGTGTATGTTTGGAAAAATCGCTGAAGGGGTGTGTAATCATAACAATTTAAAATAAAACATTCAAACGTGAGCTTGAATCTCATGTCAAGTATCTCATCATAATCTTGTATTTCTATTTCGAACCCATGAGAATACCCTACCATCGCAATGTCTCACAAATACTGTTGAAGTTATGCAGTTTGCTTGATTCTATGTAAGCACTCTCACTAAATAGTTAGGACAAAATTGTGCTTTTACACAAACTTGTCCTTTTCAATTTGCAAGAATATTCAGAGCATGGAGATACTATAACCTGATCTATGAAGATGTCTGGTGTCTTCTTAAAGTCGAGTTTCGGTTTCCGCTGTTGGATAGCCGGCAACACCGCCTTCAGCTCCTCGTGGAGATCACTGTTCGTACTCTGCATAGACTTGGTCGCTGCAACGTATTTTATTGGTTTAAGATTTTATATCCATTGATGTTGAATATCTATATGCAATGTATATTACTTATCTATATGCATTTTTTTTAATGATTGAATGCTATAGTCGCCTAACAGAGAATTTCGTACAATTACCCGGCATTACATAGCTCATTCACTCGTGCGAATACATATAGTTATTGCGCTCGCACAGATGAATCTAGCCAATTTTGTCAAAGTAAGGTCAAAGTCAACATATGAAATTCTTTACGTAGGTTAACCGAACTATAATTATGACGGTGATTACAGCCGAAACAATATTGTCTTATAAATTAACCCATAAATCAAGTTGATCATAGGATCGTCACCGTCATCTTCCTGTGTAGGTTCCAGTTCATTTGGGGATACTGCACCAGAACAGTCTTCTCTTGTCAGCCGTCGTCTTATAATTTACTCTTTTTATTTTCATATAATTTTCCATCTTATCCATAGATACCTCTCATTCTGCTTTTTTTTCTATAAGTAAGGAAACAATAATCAACTTACACTTCATGGTGTCCGTATTCCTGGAGACGGGCGGGGGTGGAGGGGCGACGAACGCGGGGGGTGGTGGAGGCGGCGGCGGCGGTGGCGGCGGGGCGACCGTTCTCTCTATAATACATTACTCTTGTAGCACAATAACCCGGAGTGTGACTTAACAAAATTCATGACAAATAATGACTAATCCATCTCTTCAGTTATTTTGATGGACCCATAGAAATAAAAACTTGTAAAACATAAACTTTCGGTCTAGTGAACTACAGCTTAATCGCTTTAAAAGGGCTTTGCAAATTCATCATCAAAGTTTATTGGTAGATATTAATTTGAAGAATAAATCAGAATAATTCGAAGTTTAAACATTAGTTTAATTCCACCCAAGATGTTCGAAAATATTGTTTTTTAATTCTTTCATATGAATAATACGAGGGTCAAACTGAAAGTTCTTAGAAAATCAAAAACTGATTACATTAGCCAGTTATTAGTTTTATTATATCTTTTCAAAATATTGTCCATTCACGTCAATACACCGCTGCATGCGATGGAACCACTGGGAAAAGCACTTTGCCCACTCGTCCTTAGGGGTCTCTTCAATGGCATCGCGATACGCAGCCACCGCTTCTTCAGCATTCATAAACCGCTTTCCTTTAAGTTTTTCTTTAATTTTTGGAAATAAATAAAAATCACAAGGCGCGAGGTCGGGTCTATACGGCGGGTGACCCAGTAATTCAACGTTTGATGTCGCCAAATAGTCGATCGTTCGCTTGGCGGTGTGCGACGAGGCGTTGTCGTGGTGAAGGAGGATCCTACTGCGAGGTCGTTTCTCTCGAACTTTTTCCAAGACAAGTGGCAAACAATTGGTAGTGTACCATTCTGCAGAAACTGTTTTTTGATCCTCTAACACAATTGTTGCAAAATGACCTATCCTTCCAAAGAACGAGGCCACCATTTTTTTTCCCGCACTTCGATCTCTCTTCACTTTAGTTGGCAACTCCTCGAAAGGAAACACCCACTGAGCAGATTGTCTTTTGGTTTTAGGATCATAACAGTAAATCCAGCTTTCGTCACCTGTTAGTATGTCGAACACAGCATTTGAGTCACCTCCGTTAAATCTTTCAATCATTTTACGACACCAATCCACACGATGGAGTTTTTGAGCCTCAGTCAAATTATGAGGTATCCACCGGGCGCAAAGCTTCCTGACCGCTAAATGTTCGTGGAGGATTTTGTGCACTTGACTCATACCGATGCCTAAGCTTGTCCGAATCTGTTGATAGGTCACTCTTTTGTCAGTCTCTATCATACGCCGCACAACACAGATGTTATCTTCAGTCGTCGCCGTAGAAGGCCGTCCCTCACGTAAATCATCAGTGAGATTAGTGCGACCACGTTTAAACTCATTAAACCAGTTGTAAACAGTCGCACGAGATGGGGCTTCATCGTGAAAGGCCAATCGTAGTCTATCATAACTTTCTTGTTGACTTAAATGACATCGAAAGTCATAAAAAATCATTGCACGAAAATTTTCTCGTGTTAAATTCATGATGACGTGACACAGACAATTTTCAATTTGCCGCCAAATCGTAAAACAAATGACAAATGAATGAAATATATACTCAGTAATATTGGCAAAGAGTTATATTTTCAAATTTTAGAATTATTTTTTTATTATATTGTTTATAAGTGGCCAGTTCTAAGAACTTTCAGTTTGACCCTCGTAATACCTAGCCTAACAGCGGCATTGCTTCTAAGCTGAACTAAATATTCTATATATTCAATCAATGTTTCAATTTATGGAGCAAGTAACATTAAAAAATATTTGTTTTCTTTCTTTCTTAAGTAGTTTGAAATACCTAAATGCAGACACTTTTTTCGTATTGTACTTTCATTCTCATGTCATCATATATCACTCTGACGTGTGACAGTATGTGATCAAATTTAATTAATTAGATATAAATAATTATTATATCTAACCTTTACGTTATCAGTATAAGATTAACATTGACAGCCGACACACACAAAACAAATAAAGCGAAGCATTCTGGCTGATTTACATTAGTCAATGAAGTCCGTATGCGGAGTGTGGGCGACCTCTAACCCACAATAATCGACCGCATCTAGGAATGCGAACCACAGCGACAAATGTATTTAAGCCATTACACAAGAAAACACACAAAAAGTAATTATAATCAATTGATTTAAATTCCATTATACTGTACAGTTGAATGAAGGGTAAGGATGGGTAGAAATCACAAATAGACCACATTAGGTTTGATGAAAAAATTTAATGTATAAAAATGTACTTAAACAAACGGAGCATTATCTAGTTTGTAGGCGGAGGGACGAGGGCGCCCGCTCCTTTACACGATATATTAATATATTTAGAATCATTAACTTAATCATTTACAATTTCATAGCATTCTCTTTAAATATTTTGACTCGGTTGCCGCCTGACGACCGGCAATAGACTCTTAATAATAAAACAATCATAATGTATTTACTTCCTCTAATAAGATTCCACGACACACTGTACCGCGTCGCAAAAAGTGACATAACCCAAATAATTATCTTTTCGAAAATGCATATTTTTTTCAATAACAGGTTACATTATATCACTTTTCACATCTACATAATTTGTGCACAATAAAGTACAGTGTCAACAATCATACTTGGACGTTTGCATTTGCGTCTTTATTGTAACGCATAAAATATAATATTAACACATAATTTTGTTGACTAAATATTGATATCAGCTTTCGGCTATCGTTTTCATAATATGATGCAATTTGTTCACATGTGAACTGTGATTGAAGATACAATTTATTACTACTGGAAAAACTATCGTTCTCATATACAGGTTACGTGACTATATCAATATTCAATCACAAGGAACACCGCGACACACAATACACACATTAGCGACACAAGCGACACACAACGCGCGGGCATCGCGCCGCCACTCGTTCCACTACTGTACCACTAACGTTCTACATATATATAAGTTATAAATACCAAACTACTGGAAATGCGAAGACAAGCAGTTCGATCCGTTGGTCGCAACTATGGCAGAAACGGTAAAAATGAGTAATATACTCTTTTAAGTTAAATAGCAGTCTCCGGTATATAATTCTGATAAAAAACTTACGAGAGTAATTTTTTGGTATATGAAAATTTCACAGGTCGCCTTACGTATCAGAACAACGATATTTAAATGCGGGAGTACGCGCAATAGCCGCTAGAGCTCAGGTAGACTACGAGCGATCGTTTGGAACGAGCGACGACGCTAAAAGTATCGGAACTCGCCCTTCTTTCCGAGTCGCTCGCGACGGATCCAGTCCGCGCCCCCCGCGTCCCTCGCTCCCCCCATGTCCCGACCATCACGAGCATCCCGACCGTCACGACCGTCCCGGACGTCACGAGCGTCCCGGACGTCGCGAGCGTCCCGGACGTCGCGAGCGTCTCGGACGTCGCGAGCGTCCCGGACGTCACGAGCGTCCCGGACATCACGAGGGTCCCGAATATCACGAGCTTCCCGAGCTTCCCGAATATCACGAGCGGCACTCGCTATCGCCCTACCCGGCGGACCTGTTGGACTGCTGCTGCCGGATGCTCGTCCGCCCTCCTGTAACAATATCAACAGTTCAATTAAATACACAGTAGTAGAGTATATAGTAACAACTTTTAAAAATATGGCTGCGCCGATGGACATCATAGTTCATAGTTGTAGTGATATATATCAGGTGGAACATATATATTTTTTTTCTGTGCAATAAAGAGTATGTATAAAATTTAGCACGAGTTACCTGGTAGTGCGTGTAGATAGGGTTGGGGTAGAGGTGCGGGGAGGCGGGCGGTGAGAAAGCGGGCGCCACAATCGTGTGCGGTACGTGCGCTGTCACGCCGCGTCTGTTGCGAGCCTTCCACCACTTGCGCGAATCATCCAGCACCTGGACATGTATGTATATTATATACACAAAATAAATATTCACACTCAATATACATTTCAGCCAAAGTAAATAGATCTACTCTAACTGAAGTTGCCATCTGTAAACTTTTTCTTCTCTGTCACTTCGCTCTCGGCAGAGCTGTCGTGGTCACATCGAGGCGTTCATGTTAGTGTTATGATTGGACATAGCATTCTTCACGATCCCTCGCTATCGTATAGTTTGTAGACTGTCTGGTACAGTCTACAAACAGAGAAAGACGCTTACATCCACCGTCATCATCAGACATCGTGCGCCAATCCCTTTCAGAGATATAGCGAATGTGATATCGGTTTATGGAATTATGTAACTTTTAAATTCGCAATTGTTTTAAACATAACATTACTTAACCGGACCAGTGCAGTTAGCATTGTTTCGTTTGACATTTTTCAATAGCTTTCAACCATTTATCGCTTTGAAATAGCGTCAGCGCGGTAGGGAAAATGATACCAACTTCTAGGTTATAGATCTCTATTTAATTAAACAATTTTCGTCTTATATACTACTAAAATCTAAGAGGGGGATATTAGGGTACGTGATAAGTAAATGCTAAGGAAGCACATTTATCGAACGTGAATTATTTGCATACTAGTGATTCCATCCAAATCACGTTTATAACGTGATTCTTAATATTCACATACTATAGCTTTGTATAAACATTTCTATTTAATATCTTTCAATGTTACCAGTCACCAGTCAAATAGTTTTAGCGTGAAGTGCGAGAATATCTTACAAATAGCAATATGAAAGGGATAGCAATAGATTTTAAAATTAGATAATTAGCACCTGAAGGCGTGTGCATCACAAGAGTGATTTCTAACTCACCTCTAAGTATTCCCCGCGCACGACAGTGAGTTCCTTGTCATTGTTGGCTGTACGCGGGTACGTGACACGCACCACACGCCCCCCGCGGGCCGCCACCCCCCGCGCCCACGACTCACCCAGCTCGTCTGCGATCAACAAAACATTTTCTATGTGACGAAGACAAATAAACAATTTCTTTATTGAAATCGGTAATACTAATTCGAGTATCTATTACTTAAAATTATTCGCACAAAAGCATTACCGATGTCTACGAGAAGATGATTTGGAATTGTTTCATATTTCATGTTCATAATAAATATTGTCCTATACTTGTATAGAAAGCGTTGGTTGGATGAAAAAGATTCTGGGTGAAAGAATAACTGATTGAATAAATAGGGTGAAAGCGGGGGTTGAGCATGTATGATAAGAGTAATAAAAGTTCAGAAATTGAAAGATGTTTGTAAGTACCTTGCCTTATGGCTCTCGATTCAGTCTGCCTACCCCGTGAAGAATAGATACACAGGTTTATTTAAATTTTATACGCATCATTCGCTGTGATATTGAATATTGACTAACCGTCATCGGTGCGATATGGAGGTTCTCTATCGGGTGATGACGCTGCTGATCCGGAGTCGTCACGGGCTAGTGTCCGACCACTGAAACAACCATTACACTTTAATATCTAAGCTATGCTAATAAAAAAACAAAGTCAATTTTCGTTTTGTGTTTGACCGTACATTTAATATATTAGTATTAGTATGCTACAAATACTTATTAAGTTGTAGCATACTAACCATGATTTCCTCAAGCTTATTACAGCACAGACATACAATTAATCATCACATAATCCGATCCGGCAAACATATGATATAGATACATCAACCAAAATTTTTTGGCAAATAATTTCAAAATTAAAGTCTTCGATTCCCATTATAGAGAGAATTCCTTAAGGAATTGACAAAAACAATTAAAAAGTCAATTCGAAAAATACACTAGAAGCCTGGGAACATCTATTCACCTTTGCATACAAAATTCTTCACGCTTATCCAGATCATACTAACAACCCAAAAGCTCTAAAAGAAAATTGCCAGAAGACAAATACACACTTTCCGTTATATTACCCCAATAGAATCAAACAAAATTGTTATTTAATTACGTAGAAACCAAAATAAGTGAAGGTAATATCAAAGCCGCATCTCAACTGTTATTTTCCTATGACATTTTTGCACTGGATACTCTTGAAACTCTTATAGCCATTGAAAGCAAACATCCACCTTCAAGACCAAATTCTACATTTTCAGACCCTTCTATTCCCTCTGATGCTTTTTTACATACAGAATCACGCGATGTTTTGGATGCAGACAAGTCTTTAGAGGTGGATACGCCGGTGGACTAGATGGTCTGGCGCCTCAATACCTAAAAGATCTCTTAAGTAGTAACAATGGTGAAGCCGATGAAAGCCTCTTAAAGGAATTAACTAAACTTATACATTTAATGCTCTCAGGTAACGTCTCTTAGCTGTCGCTGAATAGAAATCTGATCTCTGGTTACAAGTCTACCGACTACTGTTAGAACACTTCTAGATAACACAACTTTCCGGCTTGCAGTTTGTCTTCGCCTGGAGATAACCAGTAATATCCCCATCTTTGCCCTTGCGGTGAAACGGTGGCTTCTTTAGGTCATCACGGCTTATCTTACATCAGAAGTGCTGGTCGTATCTCCTGGCATGCGAGTATTAATGATATCATCCATCGAGCTCTTGCTACGGCGTTAGTGCCAGCCATTCTAAAACCGAATGGGCTGACTCACGACGACGGTAAGAGACATGATGGGATATCTTTGGTACCTTGAAGGATGGGTCGACCACTAGTATGGGATACCATCTGCTTTGATACTTTGGCGCCAACTCTTCCACGAATATGGTAAGTGTCAAATGGCGAAAATATTGAGGTATAAGTAATACCTACATATTTGAGCAGTTTGGGATCGAAACGAAGGGCCCTTGAGGCCGCGGAGCCCATCGTTTTCATCAAAAGTTATAAAAGAAACTTCTTGACAGGTCTGGTGATCAGAAGGCTGGTTTGTACCTCGCCCAAAGAATTAGTTTGGCTATTCCAAGAGGAAACGCTTGCAGCGTCCTGGGTACTTTACCTGTTGGCAATGATCTGGGAGATATTTTTTTATTTAATATAGTTAAGACATAGGTAGCTTAGATAAGTAGTTTTAATTTATTTTCAATCAATCAATTAGTTTTATTTTTTCTAAGAAGCAGTAATTTGGTTTGATACATTTTGTGTGATTATATATCATTAACCATTTTTTTAATTACAAACAAGTCCCGTTTTACCTGGTGTACGGCGCGTACTGTTCACCGTACAGGTCGTCTCGCTCGTCACGCTCGTCGCGCTCATAAGCGTACGCTGCGCTGTCCGCTCGCTCGGCCGCCACCACCGGCCCTGGACCTGGCTCGCTACGACGTGGCGACGTTCTACACACGGACACGATACTCACACAACACGTACACACAAGCAAAAGCGATATATGTACATTGAAATTACGAACATTCAACATTTTAAACATGAACGCATATGAAACACAAACAAGCGGCTGTATGATGATTTTTTCTTTTCTCAATATAATGCTCTCAATTTGCAATAAATTTTAAAAATCTACAATCTACAATAAAACATCGTAAGCATGCACAGCCCTCTTACTCTCGAACGCAATCGCGACTGATAGACATTGCAATTGTGCCGTTTTTGATTGGCTAGCGCCAGAGTACGTTAATGAATCAATCAAGAGTGCGGAACGGCACAATTGCAATGTCGATCGATCGCAATTGTGTTCGAGAGTAAGGGAGGCAGGAGCTATTAAGAACAAGAAGTGGCCCCGATGTAACTCCAACAGATTTAAAATAACTTCATTCTTTTAATTATCAGTATTTGCATTTTGTGTTAACATTAAAAAAATTACAATATTTCTCAAAAATAGGGTGTCTACTTAACAACGGTTGAAAAAGTTTCGTAGCTGAGTTATGTAATATTCTAGTATCATTCATCAAAATGAACATACTTCTTAAAAGCTGGTTCTGTTTCTTAAAATGTACTTAAAACGCTTCTGAAAATGTGTGGAACACTAAAATACTGTTATCACGAAAGATGAATTTTTTAAGTTGTGTCGTTACGAATGAGAGGTATCAAACTGGAAAATGTACCTGAACATTGTGTAAATAATTTTAAAACATTGCTTACTTAATGAAACAATATAAAAAGTATACCAAAACCTAGTTACAATATAAGTTAATATATAATCACAGAAACTATTTACCAAAAACGCAATTAAGTATATGATGATGTTAGTTATTACATTTTACTCGCTGACAAACAATGGAAAGACAATAGTTAATGTGTAATAAGGTGAGACAATTGACAATCTGAATATAGCTTAAAAAAAGCGGTCAGTATAGATATCTAACCTGCGTAGTGGTTGATCGTCAACTTGGTAGTCCGGCGACCAGCCGTCCATGAACACAGGGTGATACGGCGGGATTGGCGTCTTCCATTGCTCCCTGGACAACAATTTTAGTAATAAATAATTACAGATGTGCTCCTTATGCCAAGCTAATCGATTGGTGTGTTCCTTGAAAGATCAATTTGTGGTTACACATTTTTGGGAACACATTATGGCCAACAAGCTTGTCCGTTCGAATTAATAATTGTAGACTCCTGGCGAAGTAGTCGTGGTAATGGATCATCTTTAACCTTCTCAAGAGTACATATATCACTATGTCAGCTAGCTATTAAGCTTCTCCAGAGTACATTTATCAGTATTTAATGTTATCAGTTTAACGCGTAACGCATAAAATCAATTAAAGGCATCCATGATTTATGATTATCAGCGATAGTATCATCGATAACTAGTATGCGAATATATTTATAATTTTTATTTGGCATCAGATCCTATTTAATTATATGACCAAAAAGGAATAAATACTTCTGAATACTTATAAGGACTTCAAGTTTTGAGTGCCAACACAGGTCTTAGAAAGATGGCAAGTCATTATCGATACTTCTTTTAGCGTCCATGGCAAAGTATATAATTTATTTTACCTGGGCACGAGCCAAGCGTCACCAAGAGAATGCCAGAGCTCCGTCTCCTTGCTAGTGACGCAATTGGCGAGTAGATTGAGTGCGTCACGCGTCAGCAGCGGCTGTACGACTCGCGACGGCAACCGTCCGTCAGCAGCGTCCTGCGCTGCGTCCACGATCAGAGCCAGCGGCGTGAACAAGAAGTGCACTAGCTCCGGTGCGTTGGGGTCGTGTATGTGAGCCCGCAGGCGTGCCAACAAATTGAAAGACAGCTTGAACTTCTGCAGGACATCAACGAAGTCCCTTTCAGGTGGCGGGCGAGTCCTAAGCGCGAGCATGCCCTCCCCCGCGCCCGCGCCCCCGCTTTTTCTCCCGCGAGACCGCCGCCGTCGCTCGAGTTCCCTCGAAGCCGCCGCCGCGTGCTGCAGTCTCGCGATGAATTTCTCGATGTCATCGAAGCACCGGTTGAGGATGGCGATGTCCTGCTCGTACAGCCGCTCGGAGCCGGTGGAGGATGCGTCGTCGCGGTCGCCACCCGAGCCGCCGCGCTCCCCGCGACCCAACTGCGCTGACATTTGCTGTGGACATATAACGTACCATTTGTTGAACCAGGAGAATTCTATTTTTCAACCAGAACCAGCGAACGTTTGGAACACTAGGCACTGCACATTAATATTAAGCTCAATATAAACATGTCTTGAACACATATACACAATTTAAAAAATCTTCACGAAATTGAGAGAAACCACAATATTAGAAACACGAGAGATTTGACTACTCACAACGAGTACAGCCTCCCATTGCTGTCTCGTGTATGTGTGATACATGCGGTCGGTCATCGTGCGCGCTACCGACTGCCGACTGACGCGTTGCTCACACCTGGATTATCTATATCCTCATATCTACTTAACAGCTTCGGGGATTAATCGTGTTTTTTTCATTACAACTCATATCCTAGACCTAATAAATTCCTAGTCTTTATGATAATATAACCAACTATAGATAAAACTAGTTATTTAACATAAACCCTCGAAATTGATACGGAATAATATTAGGAGACGTATAAAAGTAGAATAATTAAAGCGTGATAATATAAAATTACCTTTAATACTGAATTATTTTTTTATCCATCGATAGATAAAAACGATAAAGGTGTGATGCCGGTCGGTACTATCTCGTTCGTCATAAATCAAAACCACATATTTTTTTATAATAATTATTGTTAATAAAAATATACTGCAAAATGAAAAATTCGAAAGTAAACTTACCTGTCTGCGCGGTCTCTCCATCTCATTCTCCCTCTCTCGTTCCCTTTCCCTTTCTATGATGAAATCGCGACCACCCTCGCCCGAACCGCCACTGCCGACTCCCCTGCACAAATATACATTTTATTTATTACAAATACTGATCTTCTTCACCCCTATCTTCACTCTATTAAACGCTATCTTAAAAACAACGTATTGCTGTAAGACTTTAAGAATAATCTTCATAAAAAAACCGTAAAAATGTCACCGTGAATAATTTATTTGTAGATTAATATCTAATACCAGGTGTAAGCGGAGACGGGCAATCCGAACTTATGTCTAATATAGATCATTAAACATAAACAGACGATGTTTTATGATTACAAACGAGCACATACTAAGAGCGTTTCGACAAAGATAAGATATTTTATCAGCATCTTGGACTCTCCGAGATGGTAGGTACAACTAATTCTACACCTTTTTATTGATAAGATTTGTTTGACACAATTTGTTTTAGGATAATCGACAGTGCATACTTCTACAAAACCGTGCATTACGCGGACGCACCGGTTTAACTGTCACAGAACATTACAAAATATGATAAAAATATTCGGTAGATAGAGCTTGTATGATAAATATCTATGATATATCGTTTCGCACAGAAATTCCAAAACGATGAGTAATATAAAAACTATTACATTATTAAACAAGACTACGACAAATTTAGCAATCTATCTACGAGTATGTACATATATATTGGCGACCCCTTCGCCATAAGGCGCGGTCCCTAAATAAGAACATTTTGCGCCTCTTAGACGTTCATTACTTTTCATAGACATATGCATGCCAGTAAAGATGTCACAGCAAGCTGGTGAAAACAGCCTTTCAATTCGATAATAAGGGCAAACCGTCCAATGGATATTATGTGGACTATGATCACCCAGATAATTTGGCTGTGGGTGGTTGGAGGACACAAAATATGGAATTTCAACACTCGGGTATCAGAGTGAAATAAATCAATTGAAGGGGTGTTTTAGTGAGTTGGCAATAACAACCGTAATAATAATCTGAAAAAAATGTAGATACTGCATTGTATAGATAAATATATATTTTAAGATGGCGATTGTTTTCATGAATGACAATGAATTAAACTAAAAGGCAATAAAAATTACCACTATAGGATGGATATTTATTTGCTTTTATTATACTCCAGATCAGAAAAAACTTTAAACATTTGCTAAGTAATTAAACCTCAACTAACTGTTAACAAATAGAAATGTTCATCCTATTGATAACAATTTTAATGATATCTATGGCTAATTAGCCGATTAACGAAAGAGATATGATACAAGTATGAAGTCATCAAAGCATTCTAGAACACGATTTCTAAAATTATTAATGTTGTAATCATTTATTACTAAATAGTATAATTAAATTAAGGTTTCAATAAATAAATAAAATATTCGTCTTTCTCTCGTAAAAGCTAAAGAAGGCCAGGAGTTATATGATGAAGTCATTCACACAGCAACGTAAAATTGAAATACGGCAGCAACGTAAAGTTATTGATACGAAAACCTAAACATAATGTTGATGTGCAACAGTTTAGAATGGCTTGGTGTATCCAGTAAGTACTTGATGTTTCTACAATGAAGGCGCAGTGAGATGAGGTCCGGCTATTGCCCCGGCATTTGGTACAACGTTCAGAGTCGAAGAAAAAAGAGATATGTTAAAATAATTAATGACATTATTACGTCAATCGATCACTTTGCATCAGCTAAGTAGTCTATGAAATATTTACTAAGGATACAGTTTTTTGCTCATTAATATTTTTTGGGCTGCAGGAAAAACGGATTTTTTCCCGAATATATTACCAGAACTCCCGAGATTTGAAATTTTTGGCCAGATAGTCCAGCCATTTGGCAACCGTAGTCCGGATCTTGTCTAGACTAAGAGTAGATAAAAGGTATCTGCTTAGTTTCGTCATTTAAGGAGGCGTTTTAAGAGCTTAAAGTCTATATTTGTGACTGTAAAAAATAACATCAGTGCATAATTACTTGAGTGCATTGAGTTCCTCGACGAGCGCCTGAGCAGCTACATCATGGCATTGAAAGATGTGCAGCTCCCTGCGGGGGGGAGCGTTGGGCGGGGGTGCAGGGGCGGGTGAGCCTGACGCACCCCCCTCCGCGGGCGCCCCCACCACGAACGCCACTACGTTGTTGTACAACTCCGCCGGTTCAGGCGATGTGAACGCAGTCGGGGAATGCACCCACGACGCTGGAAATCTCTCCATTATAGACTAAAACAATATAAGCATATTCATACATCATTCTGATACTAATGTTCTACGTATTTGGTGGTTTCATATTACTGTATAACAATCACCCGAATTGCCAATTTAAACAGCTCCTCTCAGAGTATCAACGTTTAGGGTTTTTTAAGTATTTTTATTATGAATATGCACCTTTTATTTAAAAAAATAAGTTCTATGTTATTTTCCCATTATTTAAATTACAACTAACAATACATTATAGGCTCACTTATCCATTTGGTTAGCAGTTCCTAAGATATTTCACAATATGGACATTATTTATGATAAGAGTTATGAGTGCATGGTAAATAATTATCTCTTCAAGTGGATCGTCAATATTGACATGTGCAATTGCAAACTAACATGGACAGTCTTGTCAGGCGAAAGCAATGGAAAGTAAAACAGGTATCGTTGGTTAAACAATAATGGATGTTGCCGGCCTATCGCTATGAGACAACAGCATCGTGTGTCCACAAATGGCCTACAATGATAATTTCAGTCGCAGTAGCATTTAAAAGTTTTATAAACGAGTAAGAGTTTTCAATTGATTCCTTGTCCGAAAACATTTTTGATTTATAGATTTTATTTCATTTCGTTATAAAAAGCAGTTGTAAAAAGTGTCGCGTTTACTTAAGACTATCGGGGTGTTTGACTGAATGACACTTATGCAAAGTGATACCCACAATTTATCTTATCCTTTTCTCATTAATTATCATTTTATTTCCTTTTTTTTTTAATTTAGAATTTTTTATAGTCAAGTAGAACAGTGCATGAAACTTACTCCAGTTTCGTAGTCCATGACGAGCACCCACTGCCCTTCTAAACATAATTGCATCTTTTGGCTCCATATTCCTAGAAAATAGGAAAACATTTAGCTTAAACTAATTTTATACAGGGACATATAACAGGTATAAAGCAAAATAATATTAATTATTTATATGCTTATTGATACTGTTAACTTTTATCTTTTCTGGTTCACACTTAGTTCCCATCAAGTAGAAGTAATTAAATAAAAAGTTTAAACAGAGTCCACTATGAGACTTATTTAGGACCCCTCTTTTTTAATCTTATTAAAAAAGGTTGACTTGATATGGTAACTAATATAAAAAAAGGTAGACTTCTACTGACCATTAGTCTTCTCGAGCTGTAACAGTCTTCGCATACCATCTGCAGGGTATACTATGCCAGTCTCCCGCGTAACCGTGAAAGTAGCGAGATGTTCCAGCACATAGAGGGCGCGGCCTTCACCTCCGCTCCCGGCACGCTCATTCCTCAGACCCGCCAACTCGTCGAACTCGTCCAGAGCTCGTTGCGTGTCTGCCCTAGAGCGCCCCGTCCCTCCGCCACCCCCGCGCAACGCCATCCTCTTTCAAATTCGCGATCCCATCACACCTTTTGTATGTATTCTATTCGTGTTTTCTCACTTGTTGATTGTTTACTGTTAACAAAGAAAAATCTTTCTTAATTTTGGTTTAATTTTATTTTGTTTGGCAATCATATGATTGCCTGATTTTATATTACCTGAACATTAATTAAAATACGCTCACTAGTTTGAGATGGGACTCGAATCCACCAACCTCCATACCCGGGGGTTGGTGGATTTTTTAAGCAGTTATCATTAAATAATTAGATTGTTTTTTTATCCACTAAGCCGATTTCTAGGGATAAATGTTCTGTCAAGTCATGGAGTAAATTACTCGGGCGAAACCGCTGGCGAAAAGTAAATAATTAAACGAAACATGTTTTATCACATACATAGATATAGCATTCTTTGCAGATAAGTAAATAGATAAGACATGTAAGTAATGTGAATGTGACATAGAATTTGTCGGTGAGAGTTCGATTAGAACCATAAAGAAGGCCCATGTCCCAACAACAGGGGCTGAATTGTTATTGACTTTCGGTACAACAATACAACGAAAGTAAAAAAGTTGTCACTAACACTATAAATACAGTAATTAGTGTGCTGCGGTCGTTCACTAGGACATTGACAGTGAACAAAACACAATGGATAGGTAACTTTTCTATTTATTTCTTTAAGAGAAATGTCCTGGAACTCGACGTATACGTGACACGCTTGTCAACCATCTTTTTAAACATGCAAATTGAGTCACAAGTACATTCATATATGCAGAGCGCGTATTGTGAATGTTGACTCGCCACTTCGCTTCTTAAACCCTACCACGCTGTATGGAAAAGTATTAGAAATCTTAGCATTGAACTTAACATTTCATCTCTATATCGTCTTCTGATCGTCGAATGACTCACCTACTTATATAAAGTTATAAGTTAAAGCCGCTCAGATATACCCGTAAATTAAAGTCACTTTTTGCTTCTGAGTTCTGTCCGTTTCCTGACTGTTACGGAGCATCTTGATTGGTCGATAAACCAATAAAAATAAACCATAGGAACCTCCGTATCTCGCATGCGATTTTTAGCGTGGGATACAAAATTGCCGAAGGATTTTCACCGATGTTCAGCTGAGCTAGCACGCGTAGCATAACAAACTGTGATGGTACCTCGTAAACTTGTACTTAATCTCATTATTTCTATTTCATTATAAGCGATGTTATTTTACATTGCCAAAAAATATTCGAGTGTTTGTCATAATAAGTTATCAATTACAGAATTTGACATTAAGTTGTATAATAATATGGCTATCGGGTAAAACAAATGATAAATATTGCAGACATTCCGATCGCATTAATTATCACGCGAATATGTATGTACGACGTAATATTAGAGCTGTTTACAATCACAAGACAAATCTAAGAACAAACAATGAACTAAAGCGGCAATTACATAAAGCCTGGCCCTTGTGTGTATCTAGCGGGCTCCTCACTGGTTCCCTCACCCCACACACACACACCGAGGGTATTCCGCAGTGGGTTTTATTAGATATACCAACCACACTTCAACATGTCTTCTCAAGACTGAGTCTGAAAAACAGCCACGCGATACTGTCTCATATATTTAGTACAGGAACTGTAGCGCCACTCTGCAAGTTTCAGATGTAACTGACGCTTTAATGTGTAATCCTATTTAAGGTTGTATTGTATGGCGACTGTGCGACAGATGTATTTCATCTAACCTTATAGAGATGACCAGACTAGACTAAGCATATTTATTTATTGTGTTGTGTAATTTATTTGACCATAAATTAACGAAGTTACATACAAAGCTTATCAAAAATATTTATATAGTATTTATTAAAACAAAGCTTATCAAAAATATTCATATAGTAATTATTAAAATACACCTTGCTTATAGGTAGCATCTATCACTGAACTATATTGTGGACCTGAAATATCGGTAAATGGCGACTCTAACCTCGGACATTAATCAATGTATTATATTACATACTAGTTCTATTTAAAATGTTGCATTATAGCTACAATAAACTTCAGTGTAACAAACTAATCTTTAACAGTTAAGCAAAATTGAAAATAAATTATACTAAAATATAGAAAGAAAAGAAGTCCTCTCTATGTGTAATGTGAGAAATGCATGAGTGTCGAGAGGTCTGGCAATAAATACTTTTAGAATTAAAAAAATATTCCATTTGGATTTCGAATATCTTCTTATTTTCGCGTCAATACATTATAAAATATTTTATGATATTAAAATCGCTTTGCTGTGATAAAGTAGGTATGGAGCCAAACATAATTACATACGCTTGGTATTATTAAAATGTTTATGTACATTGTACTATTGATAGGCATTCTCTATTTGTGACAGAAAATGATTTGGCCGTGTACGTACTGTTCGTACGAAATAGGCGATTAAAGCAATAAGGAAAGGATTCGAAGAAATCCTGTCCTAAAGCAAAAGATTTCATCTCGGGAGATGAAGATAGCATCTTGAACCATGTCGCGTATTTTAAGAGATGACCCAGGACTTAAAGCCTATAAGAGACGCACTGGTCATTTGTTAAGAGATAAATCAAAAAAAGAATAGGGTGGTAAAATCAAAACAACTATTTGAGCGGTACCCAAAAGGAGATCACTGAAAAATTTTGTTTACGAATGAGAATTTTACAATTGAGCAATAATTTAACCAACAAAATAACCGTATTTATGCTCAAAGCTCTAAATAAGCTTCACGATTGGTCAACAGAGTACAACGGGGGCATTATCCGACTTCGGTGATGGTTTAGTGAAGTGCTAGCTATGAAAGAGTGACCGAGCCATATTTTTGTGAAAAAGGCATCAAAACATCGGCACAAGTGTATCAAGATATTATTCTTGAGAATATAGTTAAGTCGCTTAACAACACCATGTTCAATACCAAGTTTGATACTTCAGCAAGACTCGATTCCAGGTCATAAAGCTCGATCCAACCAAGATTGGTTGGATCGAGCTTCGAACGAAACGAACGTCCCGGACTTCATCAGAGATCAAAGCCGGCCTTCATCTAGTCCAGATCTTAATCCGCTGGATTATGATTTATGACCAATTTTAGAGAGTAATTTTAGTCCCTAAAGCAATCCACACGATTGGCAATTAAGAACTTTCCCATGGAAAGAGTGCCTGCGTCTATTGATAACTTACATATATTTTAATGATTTTATATTAATGTATTAAACTAACACACTGTAATATTAATTAATTTTACGTTCAATAAAAAATGACTTATTTTTTATGTAACAGTATTTATGGCCAGACTTTAAGAGGTGTTTAAAAAACGGCCCGTCCTTGGTTACAAAGGTGACAAAAACTCATAAGCCCACGCATAAAACCGAGAAGCAATCCCTTATTACAATAGTAATATCCTTTACTTCTTATTACACTGATGCTATAATAAAAGTCAGACAAGTAATTGAGTTCATACAGCCAGCGATGGATCTGTCCGTGTACAAAATAAAGAAATACAAGAAATACCTATTCCGTAATACATTAATCCTCCGGCTTATGATTGATAACAGTCTTTTCTACAGTTAAAGAATGATTAATTTTTGAGTCATCATACTGTATAGACGAGCCTGTTAATCTATTTCTGTGTTGTGTCTATCACATATAAAATGGTTTCTTTACGGTCTATCCCAAATACATATAAATAATTTGTTATGTATAGATATTGTTAAGCGAGCAACCAATTGGCATTTATTTAAATATTCCTCGATCTCTAAGGAAGGTAGGTTCTTATGAAGAGAAAAAAATATAAAATTTTTATAAGAATATATCCTCTCATACCTACTTCAACCACTATCTTCATAAATTCATATCGTCCCTTACTTTGCGTCAGGGAAATACTTTAATTTACGTAAGGGAGTATGATGAAAATGATGGATACCGATAACGAAAAGTTTTTAAGTTTTATTTGAATACATATTATAACGCGTCAACATTGATATACAAGATTCCATCAGGGAATTCCACAGGCTCCAAGTTCCTAACGGACTCATTTAATAGGATCTAAATTTAAACTTGGATTTACATTAATAATCTATGACAAAATAAATAAACAAAACTTAGACGCAATAAGATTGGAAAAAGATCGACTATTTCTAGTCACCAATATTTGTCGATGGATATCATCACTACGGGCATCTTTTTGTCAGCTAGCTGTCACTTTTGACATTGACGTTTGATCAGTTTCACGCCAATTTCCTATTTTTATAATATGTTTTTTTATTGCTCTGGATAAATTTTGAAACACAGTAGAACATGGTAAATTTTAAGAACCTCCAAAATTCGTGTTATAATGTGGCTTTTATTTAAGATCACTTGCTAACTAGATACCAGAGCCAGAGTGATTATACATTCGAGACATTCTTCGACCAGTTTGTTAACGAATACGCGTGACCTTCCAATGGTATGCATACATTAATATCGTGTCGTTTCATTCACCACCTAATATTAGAACGAGATTATTAATGATTTATGTCACAACCTATTATTAAATTTTTCAATTTACATCATTCTACTGAATCTATTGCGTAAAGGTAAGTAGCTAAAGCACTTGTATTAATGGTGATCTGAAACAACAAAGGTGCCACAACACCCAGATCCGAGACTACATAGAAAAGTTCATTTTCTACTTGAACCGACCGTATATTGTACTAGAGACCTCAGAGATAACTACCACCTCCGTAATGGTAAAATTTCAATTTATTATATGTAACTAAACTATTTTTAGTTTTCAACAGCAGCGGACCTATATCTAAAATTCCTAATGCAACACAATTGCGAAAAAAAAACATTATTTTTTAATGATTGTACTACATTAATATTTGAAATATTATAATGTTATATTATAATTTGAACAGTATGGCTGCACCCTTAATTAATTAACTTATACTGTGTGAAGCGTTGATGTCTATCGCTCCGGTATACATTGGACATCAACGCGTGCTTTAATGGACTATGAAGATTAACTTTATAAAAAAAAATCAAAATAAAACCAACAGAACTAATTGTGTTGTGTACTTGTGTATGG